TTGCCTCGGCTGCGTTTCACGCTCGAATTGCAGATCCCACGATCGGCGGGACATATATGACATTATTGGCCACGTAAGTTGACCTCTCTTTTTTTCTTGACAGGCACAACTCCTTTGCTGACCTTTTGTTTAGTGTTTCGAATCTCGGCGGCACATTCCCCAAGTTTTTCATCCTCAAACTGGTCGACCTCTTCACAAAGGCGACCTGCATCCCACCTGCCGACCCTGATACGTTCCTCAAATCTCATCCTGATGCTACCCTCGTCACCAGCAGTTTCAGCTGTGCGCTCGAAGCAGACAAAAACACGTGCCTGAAGGGAGGCGGGACTTGCCTGATGCAGCGTGACGGATACTACATCACGAATGTCATTTTTGTGATTGTCGGAGCGGTATTGTTCTGGACTTATGTGGAGAGGAAAGCTCTTGCGCTGCAAGCGTTGCCGTTACGCGCGTGGAGAGTAGGGGATCACTCATCGTATCGCCGAGTGCCTTCAGGATGAGTTTTTTGTATTTACATTCATGATGTCGTTTTTATACCAGAAATGATACCCATAGATTCGAAAAGTTTTCGACAAATACAACAATTGACAAGAGATATTCCCAGACTGCGTTTGCCCCTTGAATACATCCTTTTTTGTTACAGGCCAGTAGTAGCGACGAGGTTGCAAGACGTTGCACGTGATATAAAATTTCAAATGACAGAGGAGAGGGACTTGAGACCAGGAGACCAGGACTCGTGCGTTCTACCGTCCTTTGCCTCCATCGATTTTAGGGGGAATGAGACAAAGCGTCTTGTTATATTTTGATGTCAACCTTTTATCAGTGACAATTACATATTCTTTGAGGAACAGACTTTATTGGACGGAGGTGTGGTGGTGCGTCATCAGTCTTTTCACTTTTGATCGGGGGAAGAGACTCGGTACATATGTCTAAGCTGGTGTGGTACTCTATTATTGCATACGAACCACAGCAGGGTGAGAGAAGTCGGTGAGAAAGTCGCGGTTCTGCATCTCTCGAACCAGCTTATCCTCTTGGGGGGTTTGAGCCGTGCAGGTGAAGGTCAAAATGGCCGAGGTGGAACAGGACCGCTCGACACTGGTGAATCCCAGGAGGGCCGAGTCCCCTAATTCGACGCCGTCGCCCCCGGTCCACAGTCCACACTCGTCGTCGCCAAACACCACGATGACGACACCGGACCAGTCGCCCGGGAACGATGATGATATCTGGGACACGTCGTCGGACCATGAACACGCCCCGCACGCGACGGCGACGGCACTGACAGGAGGGGTGTCGGATTTCCCGGCCCAGTCGTCAACAGACACGTCCAGCCACGGGCAAGGAGGGGCGGCGAGGATCAGGCGAGAAGTCATCCTGAGCGATGTCCCCTCGCTGCGTCGCCAGCACATGGCGGACGGATACCGCGAGGGCCTCTCGGTGGGAAAGGCGCGGGTCATGCAGAGTGGCTTCGACGCGGGATACCCCCTGGGGGTGGAGGTCGGACTGCGCGTGGGCAAAGTGCTGGGGATTCTGGAAGGCGTCGTCTCGGCCCTGACCACCAAGCCGGCGCGGTCGAGTGGTAAACCGGTCGGCGAAGCGGGGTTGGGTTCTTCTACAGCGACAGGTTCAAACACTTCGCTACCAGGTATTGAAGGATCGCAACACGGCGTCGTCGATCGAGAAGACGAGCCCCACAGTCTCAACACTTCTCATCCCGCCGCCCCAGGGGATGACGACGACCTGACTTTCGTCCGAAACCTGTATACTCGGGCCCAGAGGGAGCTGAAGATTTCAGAACTGCTAAAGGGCCTGGACGATGAGAAGATTGCCTCGATCCCAGATGCCGTCATTAATAGTACCAGTGGCGGCCACGGTGACGGCGGAGGAGGCACGGAGCACAAGCAAGCTGAGAGAGTAGCAACAGCACCACCACCACCACCACCATTGCCTACGGAGATCGAGACTGTCCTGGTAAAATGGGAACGAACTGTGCTGGGCGCGCTGAGAAAGAATGATTGAAAGATGGTGACGACGACGACGAAGACAAAGACAAAGACAAAAACCCCATATAACCCACCCATCCATGCATGAATCGGCCACACCCACACCCGCACCCAACACGCCACGGAAATCTAGGACCATTTATTAGACCACCCAAAAAAACCCACTCAGCCTCACTCCCAGTTTGCGCCAGGCAGTACCTCATTACACCACAACTCAGGACCGTACGGGCCGTACAAGTACGTACGGCGACGCCACACTCCCGAACCGGAAACTAGTTGCACTAGCAGCAGGAGCAGGAGCAGAAGCAGGAGCAGGAGTAGGGGTGTGGGAGAGGGATACATGACGGGTCTGGACATGCGACAACCGAGCCTCGATAGATATACGGACGAGGTGCGAACAGACTCCCCTAAACGAGACGAGACGTTGAAACTGCATTGAAAAGGACAAGTACGTCGAACGCACGCACATGCTGGTCATGGGCAACGGTAGCGATGGACGATAGTAGTGGATGATGGAGCTGGTGATGGCGGTGGCAATTGTACTGTCACGTACATATCACAGGTGCCGCTCTCTATCGATATGTGCGTGTATATGTACTGTATACACCTGCATCGGCCACACCACGGAGGTCTCTCCTCTCCTCTACTCTCCTGGTCGGATTTTCCACCGGCAAGAGAATATCTACGAGAGTAGATAGATAGGGGTATTTTCAAGCAAGGGCATATGAAACATGAAACATGATAGTGGTGAGAGATGATGAATTTTGCATGTCCTTCATCTCTTCATCCATGCTCAATGTGCTTATTGGGTACGTGCTCCGTATTCGTACAAGGAAAGCTCCTTCTCCATCATAGAGCACATATTCATTGCATCTTCGTCAATCTTGTCTCACCACCCTCCCTGGCAGTCTCATTTTCGTCCTGACACGCGCATTCTCGGCCCTACTCCATTCTTGCATACCTCTCTCTCGCTCTTTGCCGCGTCTCTTCCAAAAACCCACCGTAATCGCCTTTGGTATTTCGCTCCGCTTCAACAACAGCATCGCCAAGTTTGCCGCCTTGAGCACCCAGTCCGACTCCAGCAACATAGACATCTTGACTTATCGGCGCCGTCATCCCCTCTCCAGACGCCCCAAGGCCTTGTCCGGCGGTATAGCCCATTTTACTCAGCAATGAGGCGCCCTTGGATTGAATAGGTGGCTGGGATACTTCATCATCAGATGACGCGCGCGATGACCTCGGTGCGTTTCCAACTTGTTCGCCTTTTTTATTGACCACACCATAGATCTTGCGTCTCTCTTTTGCTCGATCGCGATATTCATGCACAGGTTCCGACACGGCCATGACAGGCTGCAATTGAATCCCGTGTTTCGCCAATTTCGCCTCTGCCTTTTTGACCTTGATTTCATCTTGTAAATTCGAGCGGTGTAGGTCGCTCAGACGCTCGTGCTTGTTGACTTCTGCCGCGTTGTTGAATTGACGCATACAGAGATAGCAGCAGTGTCGGGTTGGGTCCGCATAAGACTGCGATGGCGGTGCTTCCGTACTTTCATTCCCGTCCGTTGATCTCGAGTCGTCCCTAGCCTGGGATTTTTTGGAGATGCCATGCAGTTCAGCGTGACGATTACTCCAGAACTGGAGGTGCGATGGCACCGTCTTCTTGACTCCAGTCGTCTCCGCCTCTGTTTGAGCCTTTCGCTTCTTCGCCTTCTCTGTGTCTTTGGATGGTTTGCTGCCTGCCTCTGTGCGTGTGGTAGCGCCATTCTTGGGCTCCTGAGAGCTCGTTTTTGGCATCGATACAGCCAGTTCCTTCACATACGCCCCCTCGTCCCAATATGCCAGCTTCATAGCGGGATTGCCCACGGGGCTGAAGCAAAAGCGTTCAGTGTCAGGAGTAGAGTTCAATACGGGAACGAAGACGCCAGCATGGATATAGCTGACAAGCACCTGCTTCGATGCGATCGTGAATCGCTCAAAAGAATTGTATCGAGTCAGTGCAGCTTGTGCGTCCTCGATCGAGGCATACTCCGCAAAGCCATACCGCCAACTCTCGTTGGTTTTTCGATCGCGGACAAGCAGCACTCGGCGCAATGTACCTTCTTTGGCTCCAAGATTGGCGTCACCAGTGGTGGACGCAACTTTGGCACCCTTTTTGGCAGACAGTTCATCTCTTTGAGTTGATGAGCTTGGTTTGTTAAGCTTTGATACGCCTTTAACGAGCAACTCTTCCGACACGGAAGGCTCTAACCCACGTAACAGAAGGAATTGAGAGGGACGGTTGTCTGGGGAAGCATCGTTATCGCCAACATTGGGCGGCTTCGTCGGAATAGCGTAGGTCGGATGCTCTATAAACCGTGAGCAACGTGCCGATACTTGGTTCCATCAGACGTACCTGGTTTCTCAGCTTGACATCGGAAACATCGATCTCGAGTTGCAAAGTTGTTGATGAGGCACTATCAAGTCATCAGCTTTGTAGCTCCATGGCCATGCATTTCTCACGACATACCGAATCGCAAATCCAATCTGGTTCCTCAGTCCTGCGCGGGTCTTTCCGTTCTCGACTGAATGTTATCCGAACTTTGGCTGCGCTTCCGTTGGACTTGTTGTTGTCCCCATACAGGTAGAGAATGGGGTAATTGCGATCCATGAAAGCTTCCGCTTCTTGTACTGCGCCGAAGCGGATAAAGCCAAATCTCCTAGACTGTTCTGCCAACCATGTGAGAAGAGTATCCCCCAAAATGCCCCTAAGTTTTTCCTCCCAAGCTTACTGGTTTGCTTGTCGCGAATGACTCGAACATCCTCGAGGCCTTCGGCATGATAGTACTGTTTGAGTTCCAAGGAGATCTGTATCGCAAAGTCGAGAAAAACCTTAGCCATATATTCCGGAGGAAACAGAGCAAAGTCATCGTGGACAACCAGATGATTTTGCTTGTGGTCAGGGAAATTCGGGTAGGAGTATTCGAACATCGTTTTCAGTCAGATGAGGAGCTAGTCCATCCATCATAATTTCCCTGCTCGGAGCGCCTCGACTCGGTGGTCTCTCGTCTGAGGGGGTCCGATATCTGCTTCGACTTCGACTGCGGTAGTCTCGTGAATCGGAGCGAGGGTCGTCTCGGTCATAATACGCAGATCTGCCTCGGCGAGGAGAGGGCGAGCTGCGATCATCATCATAATACCGGTTGCGCCTGTCATAGCTGCGGTCACGTCTTCGATCTGGACTCCGTGCCCGACCACGAAAATGGAATTCTCCCTGAGACGGTCCGATTGGTGGTCGGCTTATGTCTTTGAGTGTTTACATATCAGTATAATGGCCTCAATCTCCCGCCCCTTTCTGAACTATGGTTTACCGTGTGGAGGACTTCGTTTCTGAGGGGAGCTCTGTCTGCGTTCTCGGGATCGTGACCTCGACCGGTCATCGTAGAAATCATCTTGTTGTGAGGCATGATATGGTCTGTATGGCTGCTGAGGGCCGTTGTGCCCACTGCGCCGGCGATAAGACGACATGAGTTTACGAAGGTAGAAGGTGTACGTTGTGAAGCAAGTCGGGATGAGTGTCACTGGGAGTTGTCGTGTCGCAGTCAACATTCGTGAACCGTTCGGCAAAGTTTCCTGAACCGATGTTTAGAGACAAGGCTGCAACTCCGTACTAATGTCATCACCAGGGATACACAGCTATCTCACAATCTGATTCTCTGCTAGGGTCACAGACGTCCAAGTGTCGTTGCCAGATGTATGCAAACAATGCAGGGTACGAATCTACACTACAGGCAGGCCGCCTTAAGCACTCTTCTCGTTCGCGATTCTCCTTCCCAGAAACCCCATCAGTCTCTTCCCACCCCGCTCCTCTGTTGTTGTTCTGAAATCGCATCTCTCACTTTTTGTCTCCGTTTCTGGCCAGCTCTTTTGGAGCTTGGGTTTGACTTCTTCTTCGACCGTCGGCCCAAACTCTGTGACAGTGGCTGGAGCCGTCTGCGGCACGCACGCTTTCCTAAGCATTCCACCACTATTGAAAGGACTTAGTGGTCGTCGTTTTCTGTCCACGTCAAAGTTTGCCCCGTTGATAGTCACCGTGAGCTTCTTTTTCAAGCGTTGTCGAGGTGATTTGGTCGATGGGGTTGGTGATGGTGGTATTTCAGCATTTCTCTTTGTTCGTTCATCCTCTGTGTTTTTCTCGCGCCGGCTGGGTGATCTGGGAGACCTTGGAGATCTTGGGACCCTTGATGATAAGTCCTCGATACTATCTTTGGTTCTGACGCTAAGCGAATCATCGGAGTCACTGAGTGGGATATTGATGGAGCTTGCGGAGGACTTGGTTTTTGTCAGTGTCGGTCTTTCTGTTATCGAGGTGATGTGTCCGATTTTGGTGGGTGATGTCAGTGTGGAAGACTGACGAGGAGAACTTCCAAGTGGTGAGCTATCGTCCCAATGTTCATGCGCAGTGTCGTGTGCGGATTCGTTCATCACCAACTGAACATTGCCTGAACTCTCCGATATGATTGAGGATCTAGTGCTGCATGTGGAAGGGCAAACTTGCAATTGGACAATGCCATGCTCCTCGAAGTATTCTGAAGAGATAGTCAGTACATCCATCAGTCCAGAAGAATAGCGTGCTGACCATAAGGGCGAAAATGGAATTGAAAAGCTGCGTATGGCATATCAACCGGGTCAAGGAGTTGATACTTGTATCGTCGAGGACGAATACAGGGCTCAAGATAACCACTGTTGGTCAACCTGCACACTGTGAGACTTCTGCGGATAAGTAGAAGGGAAAAGACACTAACCGCAGCCCATCAGCATTATCACTTACACTGCCAGCCTCTCCCAGGCCTGGTTCAAGGTCTCGAACTCGCTTCCTATGTTCGATGCGATGTACGTTGATCTGGACTATATCCTCGTCGTGCCCACCTCTTTCGCCGTCTTCCAGTCCATCTCCAAATCTCAGTGCCTGTGTCTTGAGCACGGCGCGACCACTGTCTGGATCCAAGCCTTCGCTAACCAGGTTATACATCATTTTGCCATGAAAACCATGCTTTGCCGTGCAATCCCACGATGTGACGACCTTGCCGTTGATGAGGAGTTTGAAGAACCAGGCGGCTTCCGGAGGATGTGGGCCGTCGACGGTGTATTCGAACCAAATCTGGCTGCCGGGATAGATTGGGACGAAGCAAGCAACAGACGGAAAAGGCGAGGAGGGCGCATTCTCGTGCTGGTAGTTGAGTTGGAAAGGATCCTTCGGTCCAGAAGAAGGCTTGTGGTACTGAAACTCTGGTAGCTTGCAGATGTCGAACTGTGATATGATGCAGATCTCAATCCCTCGTAGCTTCACCATAGTGGATGGGTATCTGATCGTGCATCAGGACGTCAGAGAGAATGAAGGGCTTAGATGGCTATCGGGTCTGTTTGAGAGGAGTCGGTACAGAGGTCGCAATCTTGCGATTGATGCTAGTGGTAGCTCAACCTGGTCAGCTTCAGTCGAAAGGAAGGAGTGAAGGAGGTGGGTGTGGCAGAAAGAGTCCTGCCATAAGGTTTCTACAGAACTACAAGATCCGAGAAACCTTTACGGAAGCAAAGACGTCGGTATTGCCATAACATTTTGGTTCTCATTCAAGGAGGATGCTGTTGTGCAACTCCATGGCCAGAACCCCTTGGTTTCATTACCACATCAAGTCCAGCATCAGCAACTTCCTTGGACGCCAGGCTGGACCGCTCATGTTTCCCATCTACGCTGCTTCCTACATTCGACTTCCTTTAGCCGAGTCGCGTATTTCCTGCCCCCTTCACGGTTCAATGCACAACTCACTCCCTCACGGTCCCCAGGCCCAATGGCTACCAACCGAGCTTCACTTCTTCATCTTCCTTCACCACCACAAACTCAACTTCCTCATGTTCCGGATTCAGGTACAGCATATTGAACCAGTCCAACATATGCCTCCAGCATCTCGCTATTGCATTCTCCGTATACGCGTGCTCTCCACTAGCGTAGCAGTTGCAGCCAAACTCCTCACGACCAGCTATCGGTGTCTCAATGGCCGAGTGGTAGACGAAATAAGCTCGACACCGCTTGCTCACGAAGGTGATAAAGCCGTCCGACGCACCATTGTTGATGAGATCTGCTATCTTGTGTTGAGGTGTGACCAGAGTAATGCCGTTGATGCGCCCTGACCATGTATCCCCTGCAGAGAAGTGTCAGTCCGTCCTAGATTTTAGCCAGAGCCACACATACAATGCTCAGCAAGATATTCCAGCACAGCTGTCCCCGTGTACTCCAGCCCGACGAGATCTAGCTTTGCTTCCTTGTCGACCAAAGTGGGAATCACCTTTTCAAACATGTAAGACACGTGCTTCACGTAGTCAAAATTGCCAGGAATTCTATTCTTGACGTTGTCCACTCGCGGAGCATCGTGCACAGCACTCGGTCTCGGCAGCGAAAGCCATTCATGTGGCGACACAGCGCGTCCACCGCCTCGATACCAGAGCAGCTGACATGGATTTGCAACGATGAGACCAGGCGCAGACGCAGACGCAGACGTTGACGTTGACATAGGTGAAGTCTCGAGCACAGGGACAGACAGGAGAGCTTTGGTGAACTCTACCAGCGAGCCGTGCTTGATGCCTTCTTCCCCGATGATGCGCCAGCTCAAGACTCCTGGTTCCAGATTCCTCTCGCCAAAGAAGACGGTCACGCGGCTCTTGGTTGCACAGTCCTTGGACACGAGGATGGGGACGTGATTGTCTGACTCGGTTGCACCAAGTGGTAGTCGGACAGTTTCGCAGCCCAGATCGGCGAACCGGTCGTTGATGATACGACGGATCGCAGCTAGAATGAATAAGTTGAGCAATCAAAACACCCAACCCGTACCGACACACGGCTCCGACAATCGAAGAGCGAGGGAAAACTCACTGTTATTTGCCCCTACCAAACCCCAACCCCACCCCTTGAGCGTTAGCCTTTTTATGTCCAACAGTGTTCCCAGGAGGAGGAGCTCCATGTAGTGTCGATAGATAGATAGATACCGACCGAACAAAACACCAAACACGAACACAAAACTCCTTACTCCAAATCGGTAGTGTTGGCAAACAACTCACATTTATGCACCTCATTCCACCGATCATTCCGATTGATCTTATACTGAAACTTGCGATCGGGGCTCCGAATCGAGCGGACCTGATCGTCCTCGTTGACGAAGAACCCCAACTTGGCGAGGTCCGGTTCGAAGACGGCGTCAGCGGGGAGCGTGTGAGCGAGACGGCGAAACATGGTGATGTGTGACGTGTGAAGGGTGGATGGTGGGCAGTGGATCTGAAAATGTACACGCGCTCCCGGGGAGGGGGGTTCAACGCGGCTGGGCTGTGTATATGTCTGTGATCTGTGTAAGCAGTGAGTGTGTGGTTTTGATTTGGGTTGGCGAGATGAGCTTTGATGGAGAACAGAAGCTAAGAGCGTTTTCGAGTTTCGGGAATGTCAATCGTGGATTTTGAATTACAAATTGCGAGTCGCAAGAATGAATCAACGAGGAGGACAAGGCTGAGAGCGGGTAGGAAAAGAGGCGTTGGTGAGGCTCTGGAGAGGTGAGGCTTTCAACCAAGTGAAGACCTGAACCACCACACCACCACCACCGATTAAATCACCGTCTCCTTCGTAAGGCAAAAGGAAAGTGGTAAAGCCTTCTTCTCTCTGAAACGCCCGGAAACTCAACAAGCCCACGCGCAGACTGAAATAGACTAACACCTAATTAACAACGTGCCTAGGTTGAAAGTGAATTACGAATGTGCGCAGAAGACGAAAAAGTTATGCGAGATTCCGTTCGGCTCGAGATAAAAAGTCATGTCCGTCTTGATGGTACAAACAACTATTCCAATTTGGCCTGATTTAGGGCAATCGACCATCACCTCATCCTTGTGATGCATCAAAATAAGCGTCATGATACCCTTCATGTCATCTCCAGACTCCCATGCATGCATTTTACTCTCCAAAACAAAATCCCAACCAGTGCATTGCCCAGCCCATTATGTTCACAACCTCATCAAAGTCCGCCCGTAGCATCCATTTTGAACATCAAACATGTCCCATAAAGGCATAGCACATGATCCCCCGTTTTTCTTAGTCGTACATATTCAGTAGACTCCTGCCCCAATGGACAATGCCTCCACCCAAGACACATCAACAGAAACTGTATCTCATCAATCTTGGGCGTAGCAGCTCATGATCCAGCTCTGGCAACCCCAAGGTTACCACTTCTTTGTGAATGGAAGCTCCCACTGGCAATGGGTGCAAATCCCTTGGCCAAGTCGAATCCGCCGTCACCATCCTCGTCGTCAGCATCGTGATTCGAAGTCGTATCCGCATTGTTCGCCGAAAGATGTGTACCGAACCTGCTGGGTCCCAGCTGATCATTCACTCCACTCGCTATATTCCCGTTGCTTGAGAAACTGCGTGCGAATCTACCGTTGTCGTCAGATGCCGTCCCGTTCAAGTTCTGCGGGTTTGCAGGACTGTCATCCCTCTTCTTGGCTGAATTTGAGCTATTAGGAGCCTGACTACCTCTGGCGGGTTTGCTTGGACTGCCCATGCTGGCATCCATAGGCGGCGGGCTCGAACTCATTACACTTCTGTCAATTCCATTGGCTCGCTGGTCTTCATCCTTCACAGGTGACATGTCAGGCAGCGGTTGACCAGGAGTTGCACCCATGATACCCTTCCAGAAGAGCCCTTGAGGCCCTGCAGGCGAGGACTCTGGCATGAACTTGCTAGGAGCAACCAGAGTACTTGGAGGAGCTAATCGAGGGTTCTGTCGCAATGGCGCAGGCGTAATTATGCTATGTTGAGAAGGATGGAAAGGGGTATCCAGGTAGGACGATGATAGTGTGGGATTTGTCGGTGAACGATGGGGAGGCGGAACAGACGACGGAAGCGTATACATGGGCAGGTTTTTCCCCAGCTGTGGTGTTGCTGCTGCATGGCCATGTCGCAAAGGCGATTCTTCGAGGTCGATATCCGGAAGGGTGTTCTGTGTATCCGTTCTTCGCCTTTGAGGTGTAATAGCCTCTGTGGGATGCGAGACAGGTGGCGCCAGGCTGGGGCTCGGGGGGTATGGTTGTTGCCTTGGGTTGAAGGGAGGAAACGGGAGACTCAGCTTAGCAGAAGCAGGCCCAGCTCGGTCGGACAGATCGCGTGCAGAGAACTGGCTAACCATACTAGTATCATAACCAAGGTTCTGACCATTAGGCCCCCGGAAGTTGGGATTGACTTCTTTGCCAGAAGCGGGCGACGACGGAGCCGAGCCTCCACGGCGGGCTTGTTTCTTCCAGTACTCTTGACGAAATTCTGGGGCAATCTGCCATTTCATCCCCTTTCCAGGCTCGTCTGTCCGTCGAGGCACCTTTTGAAATGCTTTGTTCAGTGAAAGATTGTGTCGGATAGAATTCTACTCATGTTAGTATCCAAGGAAGTGAACAACTAAAGGCGAAAAGACATACCTGCCAGCCACTATTGGAGTGGCGATAGAAGGCATACTTGTCAGCAATGAAGGAATAGATGTTGCTCAAGGTCAACTTCTCCTCTTCGCTCGAGAAAATGGCCTGGGCAATCATCGTCGCGTAACTGAAGGGCGGCTTGAGGTCCTTTGCACTGTCCCGACTGTAGTCGATCTCTTGGGTGCTTTCCATCATCATTCCCCGACCATACATGGGCGACATGGGCATTCTACTGTCGAAGACGCCTCGCTGAGACTTGCCATCGGCGATCTGGGCGGGCGGTGTCGCTTCGCGTTTGAAATCGGGAGGTGCTGGAGCCAACGATGGGAAATTTTGACCCGGTCCCGCTGAAGACTCGTATTTCGCGGTCTCAGGCTGGGGTTGAGCAGGACTGACTTCCTCGCCGGCGGCCAACGCTTTGGCACGTTCGATAAAATAAGGGTCAATCTCAACCTTGTCACCCGGAGTGACAAACATCATTTGCGTGCCGGCAATCTCCAGGATGTCGCCTGACTTGATCTGTTTCCTCGAGCCCTTTTTGACGAGGATGTTATTGACCCGAACTCCGTTTCGACCGTTAACTCGGACATGCCAGCCACCTTCATCCACCGGATAATCTGCGTCATAGTAGATCGAAGCATGGTGTCGCGAAACAATCTTGCTCGGACCGAGATCGATATGGACGGGTAAGACGTCCTTTAGGTCGGCGATGGGACTCGAAGCGCCGTTCAAGTTGGGCCGGTCATCTGGCGGCCTGCCAAAGTTGATGGATTGTTCGCGCACAAAGTATGTCCAATCTCGACCGGCAATCTTCGCATATGCCGACACCTTCTGCGGACTATTGCTCTGAACTTT